GCTATATTAGCAAATGTGTGACTATAGTTGAGTATTTTCAAAATGTTCTATCTCAGACTCAGTTTCAGATTTTTATTTACTAGAATTTAGAGTTTACTGAGTAAATCCATACAATATCTTATTTATAAAAAGCTATACTTCTGCAGAGGTGGTTTCATATGATGTAATGCCGAACATTTTCAGGTTAAGAGCAAAAAAAAGAGGGATATTGAGTAGTCAAGTTAAAAAGGATTAGCCAAGGTTGCAAATAGGAATGATAATTCAGTGAGTTAACTGCACCAATGCTCTGGTAATCACAGTGTTAATAATAATCCAATTAGGTCATGACAAACATTCATGAAAAGTATACCAACAGGTACACTTTTAACTCACAAAAAGCTTAATTTGACCTTAACTGTATTACAAGTTGATTCTCAAGCTGAGTACCGAGCAATAAATTATTCCACAGTTGCACATTTTGTGCCAGGCAAAGAGCTCTGGGTCACTGACAATACCTAACAGAGCAGTCATTATCACTCATTCACAGTGCTGTGCACACAAGTAAGACCTTACCTGAGAGCTGGCAGTGCGAACTGAACACTTCGAGACATAAAAAGGGCAAACAGCCAAATGGGATAGGCAACAGCAACACAGCTCACATGCAACATTTTACATTTTATTAAGTTCAATATTCACTCAAAAAGGTTTCTATATACATATATATATATACATATATATATATATATATAGAGAGAGAGAGAGAGAGAGAGAGAGAGAGAGAGAATGGCCCTGTAGGGTTGAAACATTGATCACTGATGTGTGTCATGTACTCTGTTTTAACACGTTAAAATTCACGGTTTGAAAGCCCTATCATTAGTGCTACCGTTTCAAGGATAGATAGATAGATAGATACAATTATATTATAAGAGATATAAACATATACTTTTCTTTAAAAACAGTGATCCCAAAATTCCAGTTATTGCAAGGTGTATTGCATCTTATAAAAATAAACTTTATTTTCATTAAGACGTGAGTACATCAATTTTATTACATGACAGGAGGCTTCGTATTTTGCATAACTCTCTTTACTAAACTCCATAGCAGTAAAGAAAAGGATAGTAAGAACCAATCAAAAAACAGTAGGAGGTATGGTATTCTCAGTGAACAGGCTCCTCCCCCTCTTTCTTTACTGCTCCATCAGCAGACAGCTCAGAATATAGGATACTCATATTTATTCAATGTTTACATATTTATCATACTTATATTGCTTGTAATTTATTGCCTTTTCTGTGTACCTTTATTTAACTATCATTCCTTTATGCCTGGTTAACTTTCTACTCAGGAATTGTTCCTGAGGCCCCCCTCACATATGCCTATATGTGTTCTGGGCACTCTGCTTCCTCCTCCCCCCCGGATCTACTTTCCCACACTTTCAGTGTGGCGGCCATCTTGGATCCATTTTGGAGCTTCATCCACTCGGTCTGACTCTGTTGGAGAGCTACACCTGCTTGGTCTTTTAAGGTAAGCATTGTTTTATTCTAACACCTTGTTTGCATATTCTTACTTCAATTGGTCACTCATATCCCCTTATTGTTTCAGATTCCACTATCAACTCACACTACTCTCATCCAGGCAGGGGTCCCCACAGAAAGTCTCTGTTACTCCTGTGGTATATGTGCACTGTAGGGCTCAATACCCTGTGCACTCTGGGGTGAGGCCCCATTAAGGTGCTGCCTATCAGAGCTCTGCTGTTGCAATCTCTGCATACTGGGTGCTGCCCAGACACAAAACCCAATACACCCTGCTGGGGTGATATATTCAGTACTGCTGGTACTTACTGTTCCTGAGCTATCCTACCCTACTGGGGCCCTAGTACTACTAGTACTATTCTGGAACATTACCCTGCTGGGGTTAAATCCGGTACTGATGGTACCATAACTACCGTAGGATCCTCTCCTACTGCTGACCCCTGCCTCAACTGCCCTCTTACAAGTGCCAAGTCCTTACTAATATGGAAGTCTCACAGTCTACTCCAGTGGACTTTCAGTCCATGGTAAATGCAGCGGTGGCCGCTTCTATGGAAAAGGCCCTATCCCATATGATGGCCATTCAACCAGAACGCTCCAGGCCACGCCGCACACGCCCAGACACCGAGTCTGAAGACTCTGAAACCCAGTCTAAGGACGACACCCGGGCTAGTAAGCGCCATTGGAAAGGGGAGAAGGACCCCAAACCGAGCAAGGGCAAACAGCCCATTGAGAAAAGCAAAATTGCAACCGCCGTTGCCCCTGCTCCCACCCAGGCGCTATCCTCAGAGGAAGAGGAAGACATTGATGACACTATGGCCATATTGGATGAATGGCTAATGCCTCCCAATCCGATGACAATGCCTGGGGCTCAGAATCGAAACCCTTTCACACAGGGGATTCAGACTCATTCGCTGCCAAATGGCAAGGGACAGGGGACACCACCCTGCCACAGGACGAAGCTATTCTGGACCCCATGGGCCGGACGCTCTTTGATCCACAAAACATCAGGCTCCACAGACTGGACGCCTCCGGAACACCTTGCAAAGTTTATGCACCTATGGATGCGCAAACCTATGGACAAGATAGTCCGCAACCGACTGAAGTCGGAATGCCCCCGCACTTCAGTAACAGACCAAGTGGCCATGATACCGGAATTTGACCAGGTAATCACTACCTTCATTAGCAGAGGTGGTCACAACCCCCGCCGCAGGGTGGAGAAAGGATTCAAAGGAGTCCAAGACAAACTTCTAGATACCTCCGGACCCCTCTCTTGCATAATGTACCTGGCAGATGATGCCTTCCAACGTGCAGACCAATTTGATGCCGACATGGTCAGGGAATGGGCTCACGATATCCGCGAATGGGCTCAACACGGTTTTTGTTTCCTTGGAAATGCAAATGTGTCCCTCTCTTCGGAGAGGCGTAAGGCAGCACTTCTCCGCATAGACGGGAAGTTGGTGGAGTTGGGCACCAAAGAACTCGGACCTCTGGCACAGGGCAATTTATTTGGAGACCCCTTTCTAAAGGAATTGAACCGTCACGTCAACGTCTTTACCTCATTGAGTAAAGCTCAAACCTCAATGAGGAGGGTCTTCAGACAATACCCCCGTAGGGGTGTTTTTGGACAGGCTGGCTGCCACAGGGACCGTGCTGCCAGCCGTTTCTGGCCATCAGGCCCCCGATCCTCAAGACCGCAACCCTTCTACCCAGAAACGGGATACCGTCAACCTTTCCCCTACTCAAGAGGTTTGGACAGAGGACGCAGTACCCGTGGTCGTGGCAGATCCCGCTTCGCACCAGGTAAGCTATCATCTACCTTCGATCACCTTGCATGCAGGTCGTCTCTCCCTTTTCTTTCAGAACTGGACGACCATCTCGTCAGACGCTTGGATACTCCAGACGGGTCCCACCACGACCGCTCAACAGTTCGGCAGAGGACTCCAAACTCATCCAAGCCGAACTTCGGGAACTCCGCAACAAGGGTGCGATAGAACCCACCCCGGACTCAGGAGGATTCTTCAGCAACATCTTCTTAGTAAAGAAGAAAACAAGAGACCTCTGACCAGTCATAAACCTCCGTTCTCTCAACACCCACGTGGTCTACCGCCACTTCAAAATGGAGGGAATCCACCTCTTATGAGATCTCCTGCAAGACGGCGATTGGTTCACACGATTGGCCCTTTAAAGACGCCTACCTATCAGTACCGATTCACACCGACAGCAGACGTTTCCTCCGCTTCAGGTGGAACGACCGACCATGGCAGTTCACTTGCCTCCCTTTTTTTTTTTGAGGCAGTTCGGCCTCAGTTCGGCCCCATGGTGTTTCACCAAACTGCCGAAGCTGGTGGTTACTCATCTGCGCGCAAGAGGAATACGCTGCATTATATACATGGACGACCTGCTCTGTCAAGTCACGACTACACACACGTTTTGCCATGGAACTCCTAGAATCCCTAGGGTTTACGATAAACCAACTGAAATCGGAACAACTCCGTCCCAAACCATACAATTCCTGGGATTCGAAATTGACTCTGTCTCCAGCACGCTCCGCCTGCCAAGAGCCAAGATCTCGGCTATTCGGAAGGAAATCCGCAAGACGATCAGTTGTCAATAGGTTCCCCTACGCAACCTAGCACGGATCGTGGGTCTCCTATCGGCATCCATCCAAGCCATCTTCCCGGGTCCACTCCACTACAGGGCGATGCAACGCCTCAAGGCATCCTTCCTCCGCCGAAATCCCACCTACGACCAACCAGTACCGATTACGGCAGAGGTCAAGGAGGAACTACAGTGGTGGCTGGACAGCATGCAGGCCTGGAACGGCCAAGCGATATTTGGCGAAACCCCAGATTTCGTACTGGAATCGGACGCCAGCCTTTGGGGCTGGGGTGCCACGAGCGAGGGAGTATCGACAGGAGGACATTCAATGCCCTCACGCAAATGAGAGGACCCTTCCATCTGGACCTCTTTGCATCCCGCAACAACAGACAAACACCAGACTTCTTCAGCTGGCTCCCAGATCCAGAATGCAAAGCAGTGGATGCTTTCCTACAGGCCTGGCCGCCCTTTGGCGCCTACGCATTTCCCCCATTCGCTATGATAGCGAGGACTCTCCACTATCTGAAGGTACACCAGATTTCTCTGCTTCTGATTACCCACCTATGGCAGAGTCAACCGTGGTTCCCTGACCTTCTAGCACTGTCTTACGCAGACCCGCTCTTACTGCCGTCCCATCCGGCACTCCTTACGGATCCGAAGGGAAACCCTCACCCTCTAATACTGGAAGAGAGACTCTCCCTGGTGGCTTGGACTCTTTCCGGGGCACCTGGCAAGTCAGCGAACTATCGCAGACTGCTAGGGACCTCTTATGGGATTCATGGGCACCGGGGACGAGATTATGCTACTGTCAGGATACTGACAGGGATCCAATACGCAGAGTGCGGACAGAAGGAGGTACGTATACCGGACCTTAGAATGGCCGGACTAACGTAGGGACAAAGCAAGAATAGTCAAAAGGTAAGCCGAGGTCGAGGGAGCCGGAGGACAGGTAAGCGAGATACAAGCCGAGTCAAAGGAGAGGAGAGGACAACAGGACAAAAGACAAGCAAGGGTCAAAACCGAAAACACAAGATAAAGAACGCGCTGAGTGACTAGCAAGCTAGAACCACGACAGGGCAATGAGCAGTAGTAAAGGTTTCCTTTAAATACCCTGTTACCTAAATAGAGACCACGCCCCCAAAAGGTCCGGAATAGCGGTTCCCGGCACTTTATGTAAATGCCGACGTCATGACGTCGACGCTAGCCGTCGCGTCATAAAAGGGGGAGGAGCTAGCGCGGCCGGCGCGAAAACGGCCGGAATATGCCGAAATGCTAGGGGCAGGGAGCCCCTAAACAGAGAGGATGTCTTCCCTGGATTCAGCACCAACAGGTACCCTGACAGTACCCCCCCTTCTAGAAACGCCCACCGGGCGGATGGGACCGGGCTTAGAAGGAAAACGAACGTGGAAGGCCCGAAGAAGACGAGGAGCATGCACGTCTATACCAGGAACCCAAGACCTCTCTTCTGGACCATAACCTTTCCAGTCTATGAGGTATTGCAGCTTCCCCCTAGAAATACGAGAATCAAGGATGGACTTGATGATATATTCCTCCTGACCATCCACACGGACCGAGGATGGAGGAGCAGAGCGGGAGGAAAATCTGTTACAAACAAGAGGTTTCAATAAAGACACATGAAAAGAGTTAGGGATGCGTAGAGTAGGAGGTAGATCCAGCAAATAAGAAACCGGGTTGATCCTCCTCAGCACCCTGTAAGGACCAATGTAACGAGGAGCAAACTTCAAGGAAGGAACTTTCAGGCGAATGTGTCTGGTACACAACCAGACCCTATCCCCCGGAGAAAAAATAGGAGCAGGACGTCTACGCCTATCAGCATGTGACTTAAACACCGCGGAACTACGTTCAAGAATTTGTCGAGTCTGATCCCACAACTTTCTCAGGTTGGCTATATGAATATCAACCGACGGTATACCCTGGGAAGGAGACACCGACGGAAGAACAGTAGGGTTAAAGCCATAGTTCAAGAAAAAGGGGCTATTACGAGTGGAACCACAAACAAGGTTGTTGTGAGCAAACTCCGCCCAAGGAATCAGACCGACCCAGTCATCCTGGTGTTCAGAAACAAAACAACGTAGATATTGCTCAATTTTTTGGTTAGTGCGTTCGGCTGCTCCGTTAGATTGAGGATGATAGGCCGAAGAAAAATTCAGTTTGATGCCCAACTGGGAACAGAAGGATCTCCAAAAACGGGAAATAAATTGGGAACCCCTGTCTGACACAATCTCATTGGGAATACCATGTAAACGGAAAATTTCTCTAGCAAATATCACGGCCAGTTCAGGAGAGGACGGAAGTTTAGGCAAGGGAATGAAATGAGCCATTTTAGTAAACCTGTCAAGGACCGTGAGGATAACCGTATGCCTACTGGAAGCTGGTAGATCAACAATAAAATCCATAGCCAAACAAGCCCAAGGTTTGTTGGGAACGACTAAGGGCTGCAATAAACCACAAGGGAGATCCCGCGGAAGTTTATTCCTGACACAAACATTGCAAGCCTTGACAAAGTCTTCCACATCCCTATGTAAACCGGGCCACCAGAAGTCTTTGGAGATCAGGCAGTAAGTTTTGTGGATGCCGGGGTGACCAGCGAACTTGCTATCGTGAAAACAGCGAATAATGTCCACTTGGAATTTGGGAGACACGAACAAGCGGCCCACAGGAGTACGTTCGGGAGCAAGAGATTGTTCGCTCATAATATCAGCGAGCAATGGAGAGTGTATTTTGACATTGGTGTTGGCGATAATATTGACTTCAGGAATAATAGGGAACAAAGTGTCCTCTGTAGAGGTGATAGGTTCGTGCTGACGTGACAAAGCGTCTGCCTTAGTGTTCTTAGATCCAGGCCTGTAAGTAAGCATATAATTAAAGTGTGTAAGGAACATAGACCAACGTGCCTGCCTGGCAGATAATCTTTTGGCCTCCCCCATATACGATAAATTTTTGTGGTCAGTCAAGATAGTAACTGGGAGGACAGTGCCCTCTAACAAATGTCTCCATTCCTTTAATGCCATAATGATAGCTAGAAGTTCTCTATCACCAATGTCATATCTCCTTTCAGTGTGTGATAGTTTCTTGAAAAAAAAACCGCAAGGGTGCAGCGGCTTATCTAAACTTTGTCTTTGGGACAACACTGCGCCTATCCCTGTTTCAGACGCATCAACTTCAAGTAAAAAGGGTAGAGAGGTATCAGGATGAACTAATACAGATGCTGAGGCAAAAGACTGTTTGAGCGTTTCGAAAGCAGATAAAGCCTCAGTAGACCAGGTTTTGGTATCGGCTCCTTGTTTGGTCATATTAGTGATAGAAGCGATAACAGAGGAGTACCCTTTAATAAAACGTCTGTAATAATTAGAAAATCCAAGAAATCTTTGTATGGCTTTGAGTCCCTTAGGTAAAGGCCAATCTAAAATCGCTTTAGTTTGGTCGGGTCCATCATAAACCCGTCTTTGGAAATTACGTAACCTAAGAAAGTTACCTGAGACTGGTCAAAGCTACATTTTTCCAATTTACAATACAAACCATGTTGTAAAAGTTTCTGTAATACCTTTCTGACTTGTCTATGATGTGAATTAATGTCTCTAGAATGGATTAGTATATCATCCAAATATACAATTACACATTCATGTTGGAATTCTCTAAGAACCTCATTGATCAAGTCTTGGAAGACGGCCGGGGCGTTACAAAGCCCAAACGGCATTATGGTATACTCATAATGCCCGTAACGGGTATTAAATGCTGTCATCCATTCATCTCCTTGTTTAATTCGCACCAAGTTATATGCTCCTCTCAAGTCAAGTTTGGTAAAAATACTCGAGCCCTTTAGTCTGTCAAAGAGTTCAGTAATCAAAGGAATAGGGTAAGCATTCCTGATAGTAATTTTGTTCAATCCTCGATAGTCTATACAAGGACGTAAGGTACCGTCTTTCTTTTCTACAAAAAAGAAACCCGCCCCCGCCGGAGAAGACTTTCT